ATATATATATATATATGACTTTGAGGCATTTATCTTGGAACTTTTGGAGCATGAGAGAGAGAGATGAGGATTTCGATTATTACTCCAATCCACTTTAACTTTTGCTTTTAATTTGATATTAGCTGAAATTTTCCTTAAGTTTTGTCCTAAATTTCTTAGGAATTGGGATGAAAATATTTATTAATTAGCTTCTTACATAAAACAAATCTAGCTGAATTAGCCCTTCTTTTGTACTCATAAAAGAGTCAAAATCGAGGGAAGATGGCCATATTTTTGAAGTTAAGAGTTTTTTTTAGAAGGTTTGGGTTTTTATCGTAGTTATTTATGCAAATCTAGATTGAACTGGTAGTTGACGAGTTAGATTGCTGATTGGAACCTTGGCTGTTTTGGTTTGAAATAAAAACTGACTTTGGTAAAAAAAATCATAATCAATATTTGATTAGTTTTAGTCGGTGAGACCAATTGAATTAATCGCTTCAATACATTTTATCAGTGTTTTAAAAATCGGCGAGTCGAACAAGACTCGCCTAGTTCGACTCGGGAACCGGCACAGCCCGTGGTGGTTCCAATACAAAACCGAAAACTGTTCAATTCTAGAAAAGAACCGTCGGTTCCAATCCGGTTCAGCCCCTGCACACGTGCAACATGCACATGCACGCATGCGACAAGTGAGGTTACCCCAATATTTCTATGTAAACATTTTACTTTATATTACATAGGTATTTATATACCAAAGTAGAATACCTATCTTTCGATGTGGGATAATTCGCAAACATCATTAAATGAAAATGGAATTTAAATATATTCTATTAATTATCAAATTATAACCACATATGGTGAGGTGGCGTGGTGGTTAAAACTTTTGCTTCTTCATGTGACCTCCCAAGGTCGAGTCCCCTCGTGGGCATTACTTTCTTGTGTTGTATATATTGTATAAATATTTTTGTAAATAATATAAAAAGCATAAAAAATTAAAAAATAAAAAAGTTAATTTTTTGTATAGCAGTTAATTTTTGTTGTATATAGTGGTATAATTATTTTTTTAAATAATATGAAAGGCATAAAAAAATAAAACGTAAAAAGTTTATTTTATTTGAAATCTCCATCTTTCTACTAACAACCTCTTTCACTAAATGTATTATAGAAACCTAAAAAAATAAATTTTTGAAAAATTGAAGTGTTATTTCCAAAATTTGTACGCCTTTTATTAATTTTTACATTGATAACCAAATCTTTTATTTTATTTATTAATTTTTACATTATAAATCATGTAATGTACTATTTTTCTTGCAGTTGTCAATAACACATTTTAAATTAGATAATATTATAAAATATTTTTAATTTTGTTATTATTTGTCAAATAAAAAAAATTATAAA